ATATATTGCATGCTTAGTGACACTTAGATAGCATAACTGATTACAGTCAAAATCACACAATTTACAGGGCAATCATTTATCAAAACATGGCACAACTACGTACAACTTGATTTTTGAATTTTTTTTTATAAGTTTGTTAATTTTGATATCGTATTTTTAAACTACCGTAGTTATGCAATTTTTCCTTACAATAATTAGAAAAAAACTAATTGTACAAAAAAAGTTTGACAAAAAAGTTGACAAACCCTCACATAATTGTCGGCTCCACGTGAATAAAAAATTGAAAATAAAAAGTGGGCCCCCCAACATTGTGAGGGGCCAGTCAGGGTGTTTGTCACCCTGACCCGGTACAAGTAGCAGGGTTGCAATAATTAACATGCCCCAAATGAAAACAATAAATGATCCAAATCAAGCTTATTTTACAATAGTCTGTCCGACCCTATAATAAGTTGCCAGTAGTGAAAACCGACTCGCAGCCGATTTGATTAGCAACCCCGATCATACCTCTGATCCATTGTCTCCTCAGCCCAAATCCAGCAACTAACTGTAAGTATTCACACTTCATTTAGAACTCAATCAATCTAACATACAAGGACAAGAGTAAAATACTAAGAGAAACATTAATTCAGAATGGGCATTCAACTCTTATTTTTCCAACATTGCCAATAAACCTTCAAGAATTCCCAGCATAACATCTCTATCAATATCTTCTGCCTGTGTCCCACAAGAATTCCATTGAATTCTCCCAATACTCAGGATCTCTTGCAATGGCCCATGCATTAACGTAACAGTTTGAAGCCTTTAACATTTTCACATCTTGAAAAACCTTTACTAAGGCTACATAATGTTTACGGGGAATTTGCACTTGTCATATATTAATATGATTGTAAAAGCGTTTAGAGGTCAAAGGAGTTGTGATGATCATTGATTGCATTTTTCACATCTCAACAATTTTACCAAATTACAACTAACATTTGTATGTGTCTGCATTGCTTATATAGGTTTTT